AACTCATGCAGAAGTGACTTTAGCTTCTCAGTGCAGTGCTTTAACCCGCTGTGCCACCAGGGAGGGCTCCCCATCCATTTCTTAAGGCAATTGTAATTATAATAAAAGGTGGAGCAGGGATTTCCTGAAGTATTTCTTGCTCAGTGTCACTGATTTTTTGCCAGTTCCTCCAAATGTATTGGTTTAATGCATGGAGAATAGATGTTTTTGAGTTTGTAATCAGGTTACATGGAAATTATAGTCTTTGTAATTCGGATTGTGACTTCCAGGTGATTTTACACAGTAAAACTAGAAGTAACTGAGTTTCAAGAGTTACTTTTCAATAGTGAAAAACACATTAGTAACCTGTAAACTGTAGAAGGGCTACTTAAGACCTATAGTAGTCAGCAAAAAGAACAGAATAAACAGCACTTCTGTAATATTTAAATTTTAATGTTAAAAAATTTGGACCGTTCTAAATACTCTATTTTTCTAATGATATTAACCTTGTTTTTTTTTAACACTTGATCTTTTCAACAGGTGTAGCAATTGCTGGAGTTTACCGAGCAGCAGGAAAAGAAATGATATCATTTGAAGCCCTTACCTTGGGCACTGGACAGACATTTTGTGTGGTGGTGGTGTCCTTTTTACGGGTTTTAGCTACTCTATAGCATAAAACCTTATGCTGTGATGTTGGACCTAAAATTTGTAGAACTCTTGGAAAGAAAACCCAGTGGAATGTCATGTTTTCTTAGTTCTTCAAATGGAAGCAAGTCAGATGAAGAGTAGATGAAGAACAACATCTTAGCCCTTTCTTCAGTTTGAAACTCCAGGAATGGAAGATCTTTTTGGACTTCTGTTGTCCTCAGCCAAAACAAACCAAGTTTTGGGGGGTAGATATTTAATTTAAGCCGTTTTACGGGTACACCTTTACACAAGCCAGGACAGTGCTCCTGGAATGGCATCCTTTGCACTGAAATTCATAATATTCAGTAAGAAAATGCAGTGTTGGCTATTTCAGAGGAACAGTGGAAAATATTGGTTTATTTCTGAGCAGAGTAGACTGTACTGAAATCTGTTTGAACTGATCTCGATTAAAATTTGGCCGTCTTCTTTTGCTACATCATGGCAAAAAGTGCCAAGTAGGTGTTGCTTGAATATAGCTTTGAGAACAAACTTGAATACAGCAAGAGTAAAAGTTCACACCATTAGTAATGTCTTTGATTGCAGTTTAAATAAAACAAAGATAACCATGGAATGATGCGACTTTAGATGGATAACTTTTTTGTCCTCTGAATTACTTAATGTATTCTAAGAGATGTGAATTTGTTGTTTTGTATGTTACCAAAATAAGCTAGCTGAATTGAGATCTTTTTAGTACCTGAACTACTTTTTCTTACCACTTTCATTCTATTAATTTTATTTATGGAAAACACTATTAAATAGCTTGGGTTGAAGTTCTTAAGTCAGATGTGTTTGGATGCTCTTTGGACATTGGGCACATAGAAAAGATACTGATATTTTGTTCAGAGTTTTTCTTAGTGACTTTGGTTTATTCAAAACTTGAAAAATTGTAGAAGGTAGCTTGAACTGGAGTTAATGGTTATTGATTTCTTAGATTTCATGTAGTTACCTCCAGGTAACTACATTACTGAGTATCACTCCCAAAAAGTGCCTGAAGTTTCACTTTCATATATGTCTCCACTGTGCCCTTTACGTTTTCTTTCAAGAGAATTTGTATCTTAAAAGAAAGTAAACTATCAAGAATTTTTCCAATTTTAGCTATTTTTCTTTTCTTCTACTGTCTAGCTTTCTTTTTCACCGAAAGGCCTGAAAACTGTGATCTACAAAATAGAAAGAATCACAAAACTGAAGCGTCTAACTTGATCCTACCACCTCAACTGTTTTATATAGAATTGATGTTATGTTTCAAAATAGTTACTGATCATTAAATCGGACACGTTTAAAGGAAAGCTTTCATCATGAGAGTAAGACTAATAGTCCATTAGTTTTGCACATAATCTATTAGTTATGAAAATACCGATCCCAATTAAAGTTACATGCACTCTGGCTTCTAATTAAAGCAGTGTGCACTCAGGAGGGTTGATTTGCCAGGGAAAATCCTGGAGAAAAATTACAGAGATCACCAAAACTAATAGCACTTTCTTCTGACTAAGAAAGGATTAGACCATTTATTGAAATTATAATGACATATATTCAGATCAGATGAAATATTACAAATAGAATTGGAATCCAAGCCAATGCCTCAACAAAATTACCCTCCAATGCTTAACTCTCTTTCAAGCAAAAATTTTAGTTTTTAGTTAGAGTCCATTTTTCAGTTCAAGGAACTATGATTTTGAAATATATCCCTTTGGTTAAACAATTTGGGGATGCTATGTCCTTTCTTACACAAAATGACTTTAATCATCTTACTGAAGGATCCCTCTTACAACATTCTCTTGGATAGGATTTCACAAATTGAACACACGGGCCAATGTTTGGTGGGTTCCTCTCCCCCAGCTACTAATTTTTAAACAAACAATTCATGATTTAAATATTTGTTTCTTTTAGAGCCATGACATAATACAGATTGAAAAGTATAAATCCCTTGTTTTATCTATTTATACTCTTTTTTTCAAAAGCTTCAAATATTAAATGTACCTTCAAGTTATTGAATGTTTCATCTATCCCAGTATGTGAACTTTCTTCTGTGAATAAATGTATATAGATTTTATATATACCTTTGTAGCTTGAAGTGTTTTCAGGGAGAAGCTATTGGAATGATAAAGTATGTCTGTTCCCCCTAAGTGTGTGGGTTTTTTAAAATTTGTTACCTAAAAATATACCATTATTTGGAGTTGGCTTGCTGGGGTAGAAAAATACTGGAATTGTTTTACCTTACATCATTTTTTTAAAGCAAAAACTATTTTTAACGAATGATTTTCTCTTTTTCCAATCTTGGCATAAATTTCATTCTTTCCAGTGAAGCCCTCTTGGTGTCCTTCAAAATGTGGACTTCTGATTCTGTCTGGGTCAAAACTCCATTCATAAAGTAACTGTGCAAGCCCATCACCCTTTGTGACTTTGAACTTTTCTTTGCCAAAGTCAAACAGTACAACACTACCATTCCTCTGTTTCATCTATGACACCACATCTTAGTTCTATGGAATATTTTTTACCAAGCCAGAACCTGGAGTCTCTCTTCCTTAACATGAGAAGAGCTCTCCGAGCATCAGTGGACACAGGAGATGGCAAGTGCCTCTTCAGAGCAAAGCAATGAGGGGGCTGGTGGCTTCTAAGAATCTTTTTGCAACAACTTGTTTTATTAGCAATATAAGCAATCATACCTTTCCCAGCTATGTATTAAAGACTCCCAGCCTTTGTTTTTTTTTTTAGTTTTGCAATATTGGGAGGCAACCTCTAACCAAGGAAACAAACTTCCAGGATCTTAAAGATAGGTGTTTTGTGGGGCAAATGCAGCTCATGAAAATTTAAATCCATATACAAATGTGTAAGAGAAATGTGTCTCTCTACGCTGTTAACTAATTTTGGTGGGGTTTTTTTTTTGCAGCAAACATTACCTTCAGGAAGTGTTTGAACTAGTGAAAGTTCATGCAAAGAATTCCCTTTAAACCCTTCCTTATGTTTTTGAAGTTTTTAGATAGTATGTGGACTTTTGAATCTGTTACCTTTTCTGAGTGCTCTGGTTTGAAATAAGTTCTCACTTAAGTCAAATTAAGATGTAAGCACAACTTCAGTGCATATGAAGCTTCCCTAAGAAACCATTTCCTGGAATGTGAAGTCGTGGTGCCGTCAGCTGTCCACACACAGAAAGGTCTGTGTACGTGCTTTTCCTTTCCGTGCTTTTTGTGACGCTGGTTGTGACTAAAATCAGTTTAACTTTTTGTATTAGATAATTTCACTAGCTGCTCCAGTCAAATGATCAAATCTTTGTACAACAGAAAATTATTTAAATTTTATTTTTCTACTGACATTTCTAATTCCGGTATAAATGTCTGTCAATAAAGGTTGACATTCAATTTTGTGAACTGGAACTGTTGTTTTGTTTCAGTGGCCAGTGAATTCAGGCTGTGAACAGTTGTCCAACTTCAGTTTTATTTTTGATGACCATACTTAACATACATGTTTAGCTGTCTTTCTCTATGTTCTTCTTAAAAATCCTTTTTCAGAGACATAATTAAAACTGCACTTACATGTGAACTTGAGTCTTATTAACACCACTCATCGGGCTCTATTTTGCCATTAAGGATTGATGTTATAAAGAAAATGAAGAATAATGTAAAAAACTAAAAAATAATATATATAAAGAAAATGATGTAAAAAACTAAAAAATAATATATGTATATATATAAAGGAAAAATTGCTACCTTTCCAAACATTGGGTCTGGCAGGAGAATAGCCATCTATTCACTTTATTTTTGTAAGTGTAACAAAGTGTACAAGCCTTAAATGTGTAGTTGGAATCTTATGCATGTATATACCTATGTAGTTGCCTTTCAGATCAAGGTACAGAATGCTTCTAGAACACTAGATACATGCAATGTTCAGCAAGAATGTGGAATTGTATGTTTCAGGATCCAGTGGGTTTGTGTGAGGGGGTATGGGGGGGTAATTTTCTTTTAACTTACAGAAAGGTGGTAACCCAAGGTTGGATAGTGGAGAGACTATATAGAAGACGAGCTAAAGATGTTGAGCCTGGCAGAGAGGACCCCATAAGTTAATGCCAAGACTGAACCAGGAATCCTCTAGGGAGTTGGGGAGGTGGGTGGATATGTTCTCTGACCATCTGCAGAGCTCTCTCCAAAGGACCCAGCTGTTGTCCAGTTTCCCCCATTCCCATTCTGTGGAATTAGGACCCCACTGTTGCAGATTTTCCAGTTTTTCAGAGGAAGTTGAAAATCTTTTTTTTTTCTCAAGATTTATTTATTTATGCATATAACAGCTGGAGTGCAGGCCAGAGGTGCAGTTGGTATAGAGGACCACCAGAGACAGAGTGGAGAGCAGAACATGCAGATCCACTGAAATACACTGCTGAGAGGAGCAGTGGTGGGGCAGGAGAGGTCTGCTGCACTGTGTGGGTCAGCTCCCTAGCTGGGAATTGAACTCAGGCAGGGCTAAGGATAGCTTCATAGTGCTGCATCTTAACCCTTTGTGGCATCAGGGAGGCGCCTGGAAACCATTTTTTAAGTGCTAGTAGCTATTTAAATTCATGTAAATACTTTTTAGGTCAAACTACATCTTTAAGCTGCATTTGACCTGCTAACCAATTCTGGACCTCTACCAAAATATATAACAAGAGACAATAGTTCCTAACCTACATATCCTTAATCAAGAACTTCAGTTGTGAATTTGAGCAAACTGATAGAGTGCTAAGGATCTGACAAAGGGGAGGCTCAGAGAAATGGAGTGATGTGAGGGGCTTCTGCTGAAACTCCATGTGCTTTGCCCCAGACTTCTCCAGCAAGGGGCAAATCTACTTGCCAGTTTTCACTCCAAGGTCCCTTTTATCTGGTCCCAGGAAAATCAGGGTGAGAACTGTAAATTCCTAAACACTGGCTCCTAGTTTTACATCTATTTTTTTCTTACCTACTTTTCTGTTCTCCCAGAAGAAAGATCTGCTAAAACATACTGAAAATAACTAAAACTATTAATAAACTCTTAGAAGAATGAAACAGAAATAGGCTTTGTGATCTTGGAATAGGTGAAGTCTACTTAACTAAAACCCAACAGCATAAAGAACATGATAATTTGGACTTCATCAAACAAAATTTCTGTGGTTCAAAGTATGCCATCAAGAAGAAAACATGTCTACAGAACAGGAAATACTTTCAAATCAATTTTTATCTGATACTTTCAAATCAAATTTTATCTGATTCTTGGTGTATGAGGTCAACTTAAATATGATACAGGCCAAAAAGTCACTAGATACTTCTGTTTTGTAATAAATAGAACATTGACAACAATAAGTAATGTTTTGGAGATAAGCTGTCTATCAATTCTGCTCTTTCTGACTTCAATGCCAGTCATGGTCATTATTGCTGCATTGATATACTTCTTGAGACTCCAAATACTGTATCATTGTCTCTTCCTCAGAGGATGCCCCTGTGGATGTGATGTCAATATGCACCTAGAGAATGCAATGGCTGACCTTTTACCCAGGCAGACCGTGGAGACTGCGCCCTCCTTTTCTGTGGCACCAAGAGCACTCCTGAACAAAATTCTTTTTGCCTTTTTCCCTCCATCACCTACTTCTAAATCACTCTTGTTGTGTACAACACAAAGGTTCAAGTCATGTATTTTTATGAGATTGGTATTTAGAGTCTATGGAGAACTAGAGGTGAGAAAGTATACTTCAAATCTTTGCAGCTTTGTAAACAAGTGTTACCTCAATAAACAGAAAAAATATATACTGGGCCTCTCTGGTGGCCTAGGGGTTAAATCTTAGCACTACCACCTCAGTGGCCCCTCACAACAACCTGAGTTTGACACATGGCACAGCAGACTTTCATGATATGTGAATTATGTTTTCAATAAAGCTGGTTTTCAGTTTGCTGGTGCAGAACCATTTTAATGTCCTTTTCGTCACAGACCTGTGACATCTATTCCTGGATTTAGATAACTCTAGGATTGGGCGACACAGACCCAGGCTACTCCAGAGTATCGATGAGGTACAATTTTCAGCTGAAAAAAGCTGAACTTGGACCATCCCTGGTGGTGCAATGAGTTGAAATGCAGTACTATGAAGCTAGCCACAGCCACTTCAGTGAGAGTTCAATCCCTGGCCAAGGACCCACACGGCACGGCAGACCTCTCCTGACCTGCCCACTCCTTCCCTACTTGGTCAATCTGCCCATTCTGCTCTCCAGTGTGTCTCTGGTGATTCCTCTCACCACCCCTGCACCTCTGTCCTGTACCGAAGTTCTGTGTGCATAAATAAACCAGTTTTTTTTTTAAAAAAGCTGAATTTGGACAAACAGGATACTAGTGAATAATATCTCATCTGCATTTGTTTCTGATGACTGCCTCCCAGAATTGGGTTATAATTACATGGAACTTTTCATTTGCTAAAATGCTGAAGTTAATATACTGGTTGTCCCTCCACATGGATTCATGAGAAGGAAGAATCACGTGGCTGATGTCTGCACTCCAAATTATAATGGATTCTTGTTGTTTGCAGTACTTAGGTCTTGAAAGTCACCACACCCACTTAAGTACTGAGCCACTGTTGAGAGACCATAGAGGGTCAGGGCCTTGAGCATCTCTGGTTAAATACTTTTGGCAACATGGACCCTTGTTTTATGCATGTTTTGGTTCAGAGACACCTTATTTATCTTTCTTACAAATCATTTGTGGTATTTATAATGAAACAATATACCAATGACATTTTTGCGTAAGGTACTTTACAATGTTGAGGTTGAACTGCTTTACTGTCACATATTCAGAACAGGCAGAGCACAGACTTTGCTTCACACAGTAAAATGGACTGCACAATACTCATAGTAAACGCAGTATTGTCGACACACTGAGGCTGTATCGTAGTGCAAATAATGTCCTACAGAATTATAGATTAGCACTTACAGTTTTACAAAAACATGGACTAAAATCTTAACTGTTGACAGGTCTTCGGGATATGAGGGTACAGCACACACTGGGATTAAATCCTTCACCATTGGCTTGTCCCAGGAGCACTAAGGGAGAGGATGGGGTGCTTACTCTGCACAAGAGGAAGAGGATGGCCTGTCAACATGTGGCAGTTCAATCTTGGGACTTTGGTTCTCAGGACTTGTTTATGGAGTCAATAATTTCCCCTCTCCAGATGGTTGCAAAATATGTGTCAGCCTTGTCTGCCGGATCTCTTGTCTCCCCTCTTTAAGTATTTTGGAATAAGGGAAACATACATAAGAGGTTAGGCATTTAAACTTCAGGCTGTGATCCAGCATAAGGCCACATTTTCCATATCACTAAATTTTTTTTCCAAGGCGTAATTCCATTCTGATATTTTAGCCACTGTCAAAGGAACAATTCTTGGTGTCTTAAGCTGACTTTCTTCACTGACTCCAATATTTTGTTTTGCTATCTCCTTCAGGCCTTCATTGGTGGGTTCCTTGGCATCGATGCCCAATAGCAAGGTTGCATAGTCTTGGAATGTCGGATTTGGTGGCCATTTGCATTATTATTTAGATTCATTTGCCTACATCTTGTAAAGTCAGCATTAAAAAAAAAATGCTTTCCCACGTATTCCTTTCCCTGTATAACACTTAGCAACTTTCTTTTAAATTCTTCCAGGCCTCTGATCTGCAGAACTTTCCTCATTTTCAAGTTTAATATTTTTCACACCACATCACCTTTTGAAACGTGCCAGCCAGCCAGCAGTAGCTGAAAGGGTTTAACATTTTTCTGACCCTGGATACCTTGATTGTAAATTACCTAGGCTTTTAGCCTCACAACAGTGCTACCCATCAGACCTTTTTTTTTTTTATCGTCGTCATCTCGTGAATCAATAGATTTAGGCTCTTTCCCACCTTTTCCATGGCTTCCTCAAGCACAACAGATGTTGCTCTGGCACTCTAGGGCGCAGCCTCACAAACAGATCGGCGAATAACTTTCCTTTTTCTTGCTGCACCCGATGGTTGATTCACGGCCCACAGCACTACAGCTCAGGCTACCGAAGCTTATCTAAACGAGCATCTTCTCGATAGGGCACATCACAGCCTTCTTGCGCCTATGTCCACCGGCCAGCACTTCAGCACTGCGCTACGGGGTCATTTTAAACGGTGGAATATACAGCTATGGCACTAGATAGACTTCCAAAAAGACACTGACAGTTGGAGAACTGCAACAAGAAAGCCGACCACCCACTTGGCTCAACCTCAGCTCGTCCACACACCGACTGGAGTCGCAAAATGTTCACCCTCTGCGCCAGTCCGCGAATAACCCCAGCAAGCATCGCGAATATTGATTGATTTGAGGGTGGCAAAATACACTTTTGCAAATAAGCGGATTCGAAAATACTAACCCGTGAATAATAAGGGCCACTGTATTCCCGCGGAGCTGTAATTTTGTTTATGCAACTTTACTAAAGTGAAACGGCGAGCCAGCGCACCATCAGACTACAGGTCCCAGGTCCCAGACTACAAATCCCAGCATGCACAGCTCAGGCACACCGCCAGGGCTCCGTCAATTACCGCCGCCGCTTCAGGCCCCAGACCCTGGCCCGGAAGTGTCGCGTTGCTACACGTAGAAATCTCTGCGCATGTGCGCAAGCCTTAGGGGGTCGCCCAGGCTGCCGCCACCGCCCCCACCACCATAGCTCTATGGTGTCTCCCTAGTGCTCGGCCGTTGGCGGCAGCTGCTGCGGTCTTGTGGCTTGGCCCACCGCGCGGGGCGGCAACATGGAGGAATTCGATTCCGAAGACTTTTCTACCTCAGAGGAGGATGAAGACTACGTGCCGTCGGGTGAGCGACTCGGCCTGAGGCGAGAGGCCGATTGCCCCGCCCCGCGCCTCACGTGAGGCGCGTTCGGCCGGGCGTGCGTGGGTCCGGCGATCCCGGGGGCCCGAGGTCGGGTCTCGCGAGGCCCCGGCGGCCAGACGGGCAGTCTCGGCCTTTTGGTACGCCCTGGTGCACGGGGACACCCGCCCGGCCGCCCTCTGTGGGCAGGCTTCGGCCAGCGCGGGAGCGCACGTGAGCCCCACGGTGCCTCGCGGGACGCGGTCGCCGGCGGGTCGTCGCCGGACCTCACCCACGTCCAGGCCTCCGAATGGCGCGAGCGGGCGCGGACGTTCTCGTCGGACCGCTGGCCCGAGGGACTCTCACGTTCGAACGTTCACCTCATGTTGATGCACTTTGCTTCTCTACACAGTTGTTTTTTTGCAGCAAGTTTTGTGTTTTAGCAGAGGCAGCTCAAGCCCAAAATCTGGTGGCCCAAACCTACTCTTTCGGCCAGGCAGCGCCTGCCCCACATCTGAAGTCGCTCAGGGCGAAAACAACCACCCCCAAAGCTGGGAGTCATCCTTACCCTCCCTCTCTCTCGGTGGAGGTTTTAGGTGCCTCTGGAAAGTCCTCGCCTTTCTCGGTACTACTGAAATATCGTTGTCCTGCCACAAGGACTCGCCATAACTTCCCAGCCGGCTGTGATCTTAGGGTGTTGGCGACAGTGGTCACTGCAAAGTTAGTGGTCATTTTAATCGACGTCATGCATGCACGTGCCAAAATTGTCCACTGTAGCGATAAGGCTTACTATGAAAGGGAAGAAGAAAAAAAAAAGACTGCTTATTGTCACCCACTCTTGTTCTCAGAAGAAACTGCTTTTTCCTTTAGTATTTCCAGTGTTGACTCAACCCATGCCTGGCACGACTCATTTATTGCGACTTTACCCCATTTTCACTCCGAATTCCTTTTTGTTTTTTAAAGATTTATTATTTATGCATACAGAACTGGAGTACAGGCCAGAGGTGCTGGGGTGAGAGGACTCACGAGAGACAGTGGGGAGCAGAACAGGCAGATTGAGAGTACACTGCTAAGGGGAGCAGTGGGCTGGTCAGGAGAGGTCTGCTGCGCCCTGTGGGTCACCTCCCTGGCTGGGGTCCTGCTGAAGGGACTGCTGTGAGCTTGCAGTGCTGTGCTTTAACCGGCTGCGCCACTCCCAATTCTTTTTTTTTTTTACAAGATTTATTTATGCGTACCGAACTGATGTACAGGCCAAAGATGCGGAGGGTGAGAGGATTCACCAGAGACAGAGTGGGGTACAGAACAGGCAGATCGACGAACTGCACTGCGGAGGGGAGCAGCGGGCGGGTCAGGAGAGGTCTGCCGCGCCACGTGGATCTCCGGGGCAGGCGGGCAGGCGGGGAATCGAACTCATGCGGAAGTGGCTTAAGCTTCTTTGCTGTGCTTTAACCTGCTGCACCACCAGGGAGGGCCCACTCCCAATTCTTAATATCCCACTCTCCAGCCTATTAGGGTTCCTGTGACCAGTTTTGCTTAGATTAGTATTTATTTAGGGTTTACTTGGAACTGTGACCACCACTCTTCACAGGGGGGCCATGATTGCTTTTCCTGCACCACTTACTCCCTGGAGGCAGAATGGCCTTTTTTTTTTTTTTTAAACTTGTCCTCTAATTTGACCTTAGAGGGTCTTCCAAGATCCTAAGGTGCATTGGATATGTCACTTTATCTTGAAATCCACTTACCTTCTGACCTCCTCCGATTTGGCTTAGCTTTACTGGTTTTAAATCTGGATTTTTTGTCTTCTTCATCACTCTGGGTGCTGAACTCCCTCTTTTTCCTTTTCTGTTTGGACACCCTTTTTTGGGTCCCCTATTGTCCTTTTGGTGGGTTCCACTAAAATGAAAATAAGTCCTCAAATTTCTTGAGGAAGGATTCATGGTAGAGTTTGTCGGAAAGTAACTGCGATCTCTCAGGCATGATTATGTGGTATAGATAATAGTTTAAATACGAATTTAAAGGTTTTTAGTACTGTCTAGTTTCTCCTGTTATGCCTGTTTTGTTGTTGGTTTCTCTCATTTAAATAAAAATGACAAAATCTTGGTTCCTAATGTTTTCTGATACTTCACAATGATTTACTTTGGTATGAATATTTTCATCCATTGTGCTGGACCTTCTGGGAGGTATTTAATTTAGGACATTTTCTTCCTTCCATTTTCTTTGTTTTATTGTATCTTATGTTAGATTGGAATCTTACTCTTAATCTCTCCTTTGACTTTTTCCCAGTATATAGCAAACTTTTAGTACTTTTAAATTTAAAAGATTTTATTTATTTATGCATTCAGAACTGGGGTACAGGCCATAGGTGCAGGGGCAGTGAGAAGATTCACCAGAGACATAGTGAGGAGCAGAACAGGCAGATCTGCTGAAGTACACTGCTTAGGGAGCAGTGGGCCAGACAGGAGAGGTCTGCTGCATCTTGTAGGTGAGCTCCGAGCAGGGCTCGAACTCTCATTGAAGGAGCCATGGCTTGGCTTAGTTTTGCAGTGTAGCGCTCCAGTCCACTGCACCACCAACTCTGGAGCAAAATATTCGCTATACTATTGACAGGATTATTTCTGAATTGCAACCATTTTGTGTTTTCTCCTATTCCCCCATTCCATCTTGACTGTTAAAGACAAAAAGGGTGTGGTACTTCTCTTGCATCTGTAGCAGAAACCATGGCAGTGTTTTCAATATTTTATCTTTGAAAAAGACTGATTTTTTTCTTTTTTATATATTTTTATTTTTATATTTTTAATTTTGGATGACATTTTTTTCTTTGAGGATATACTTTTTTTTTTTTATTCATACAGAACTGGGGTACAGGCCAGAGATGCGGAGGGTGAGAGGATTCACCAGAGACAGAGTGGGGAGCAGAACAGGCAGATGGACGAAGTACACTGCTGAGGGGAGCAGCGGGCGGGTCAGGAAAGGTCTGCCACGCCATGTGGTCACCTCCGGGGCAGGCGGGAATCGAACTCATGCAGAAGCGTCTTTAGATTCTCAGTGCTGTGCTTTCACCCACTGCGCCACCAGGGAGGGCCTGAGGTTATACTTTTTATAGCATCATTTTATTCTTTCATAAGTACAGTAGGTAATTGCTAACGAATTAACAGTACTTTCATATTATTTTGAAATTCACAGAAAATATCAGTGCTCTATAAGTTTTGACAGATGTTTAGTGCCTGTAACCTATCACCAAAATGAACAGTTCTGAGGTAGCACTCCCTCCCCCAAGAAAAAACAGTCACGTTGTTTGAATAGAAAACATTTTATTCTTTTTCAATAGGTATGCCTTTCATTTCTTTTGATTGCCTTATTTCATCCTTGCCTTATTCAGAGTTGTTAGAAAGCATCAATGTTTCACATTTTAATACACTGTCAGCTATAGGTTTTTCACAGATGCTTGTGTATGTGTATTTTAAACTACTTCATTACTAAAGCACATAATGCTGCATGTATGTGCTGTTGTGCTCCACTTTATACATGAAGAAAATGAAGTCACTCAGTGTCACTCAGGTTGTCCAAGCTGGAGCTGGGATTTGAACCCTGGCAGTTTTCACATACTGCCCCTCACCAGATGCCTGTTATCAGGATTAAGAATTTGTCTCTGTTAAGTATTTGCTGAGATGTGAATTTTGTCAAATATTATTCATCTTTCTAATGGTTAAAGTGTACTTTTTGTCTTTTGTTAGTGTAGTGAATTAGAGTGATTGATTTTAAAAGTTTCAACAGCATTTTATTTCTGGCATAAAACACACTTGGTTTTGATGTGTTCTTTTTATATATTGATGATTTTGGTTTCCTGTTTTGTCAAAAGTTTTTGCATCTGTTTATGAGAATGTTGTTTTGTTGTTTTCTTTTACTTTCTCATTTTAGTACCTGATAATTCTAGCTTCCTAAAATGATGGAACTATCTCTGTTTCCTGAAAGGTAAATTTTTTCACCATGTGTTTGTTTTTGCTTTATTGTGTTACATGATTTCTCAGGTTTTCAGCAATTATTAATTGCTTGGCTCACGTTTAAGCATGGAGAACTAAAAAGGTGATAGGAAATTCTGGCTTTGGGAAATTATTCATTTTGTACTTGATTTTCTAGATAGATACTATGTTAATTACTATTTTTATAATAGTTGGGTTCTGTTCATTTATGTAATTTAAAATTTGCTTACCTTGTACTAATGAGATGAACATATTTTTCATGTATAGCAACCACAACCACATTCAGCGCCTTATCTGAACTGTCTGCTCATTATTGTGACAAAGATAACCTTATGAAGAGTTGACTCCAAAATGACTATTGCTTGTTTGTCCAATCACAACTGAGTTCAAGATAATACATAACTGGATGTCCTGTCCCTTAAATTTGCATTAATCTAGCTCATTTCCATTTCTATAATGATATTGATTTGTTTAAGAGATCAGATTTGTCTGATTGCTCCCTCCTGGGGGTTAGGTTGGTCTTTGTCCTTTGACTTTCTTATAAATTGAAAGGTACATTTAAAATTTGATGGGTTCAGATGAACTACTTTGGCTAAAACTGCTGGTGACTTGTATACTCCAAAATGTTTAAATTAACATCAGAAGACCCATTATACAGTGTCTTCTGTGATTCCCACTTGTGACCCCTGGCTCAGGATGATGAGTCTGGTGCCTCCGTTGTGTAAGTATTCTGTGTGCAGTGTACTTACTGGATAAAACTTAACATTTTTCTTGATAATTGTCTTAATTACTTCTGTAATTAGAGTGTGAAAAGGAGTGTTTTTTTCTAATTTGTGATTCTTACACATTTATTGTTTGATGTTCTTCTATAAAGTTCAACTTTACTGCATCATTTGGGGGCAAGTTAAGTGTTTAATTCATTTCTCTTAATTACCAGTTTCAAAATAAAGAATTATCTGTTTGAGTAAGGAGCCTAAAATGTACCAATTATTATTTTTTGTCTTTTTTATATAATAAATTGTTCGTGGATTTTTATTAATGTAATGTGTGTTAGTATGCTAATAGTTATTCATTCCTTTTCATGCTTAAGATAGCACTTTTGGTTTCTGAATTCTTTCAAACGGAATCTTACATATATTTTAATGTGACCCATTTTTCTTAAATAACTTCCTTACTTTCTAGCATTGCAGTTTCCCATTTTAACTTTGTGCTTGCTTTCTCTCAGATATGAAATTGGCTGTTTCTTTTTTGTTGTTGTTTTCCTCAGTGAGCCCTGGAATATATAGAGATTCTCATTACTACCAGAATGTACTGTTTCTGTGCCATCTGAATGAACAGATCTAGAAAATATTTAGAGTTCATGTTGATTTTTTTCTCTCTCTCATTTTTGAACTTGTCACTTGTTTCATATCTATAATTTTGGAGTACAGTTTTCCACCTCCATATGTGTATATCCTTCACTCATGTGTGTTTTCACTTATTTTTCTTTGATTTTTAATTGTGTGTGCTGCTTTTTTTCTTTCATTTGGAATATCTGGATTTCTAGGAAATAGTTTCAGAATACCAACACTGGAGTTACTACAGATACAGAACTTCTTTGTCATTGGAATGCATCTTGTTAAGGTTGTGTGGTTGTTTCTAATGTCCTTAGTATAAAATCCCTTCTTTGTGGGTTATATTATTGTTTGGGTATAAAGTTATGTTGTTTGTTTATTCAAGCAGCTCTTGAGTTGAAGGAGTCTCAAAATGCTATAGAATGATAAACATGAAGAATTCTTCTATTCCTGTTTATTACACCTTGATGCTTATAGATAGCTATTTTCATTAGTTTTGTTGTTGTTGTTTGTCCTTCCAGAATTACTTTTTGGAAATGTAACAATAGAATGTGTTTAGATGCCAACTTTTGTGGTTTATGTCTTTTAAAGTTCTTTTTCTATATTGATTTTACTGGGGCTTCAAGAGGAAGCAAAATTACATTGGTAAATTCTTAGCTTGGAACTCATTCCTCTCTTCAGAAAACACACATCATTTGGTGTCAGGGATACTAAACTTGTTTCCATTTTAGAATCCTTTTATTTACTATTCCATCAGCCTTGAAATGCTTAACCTTCACATAACTAGCGCCAGCTCGGTATCTTCTTTTTTATTAATCTCTTCTGTCGTATTTGTATTTTTCAAAAGTTAAAAAAATTAGTTTTATGCCAAAAAATTTTAGTCATCTTAATATTTCATGAATGTCATAGTTTTTCTCATGTCTTTGAGGATACTAATTTGGTTCATTTGAATTCCTTTCTGTTGGCTTTTAGTCTTGCCTTTCAAATATTGGTCATTTTCCTCAGTGTTTGGTGATCCTTGGTTCACTGATTGGATGTATAGATGTATAGGAATATTCAGACAGCACAGTTTGTAATGACCTACCCGCCCCCCCAAATTGAAAACAACCTAAATGCCCAACAATGAAGAATGGATAAATAAATTATGGTGTCACCATACAATGAAATACTATTTAGGGATGAGGATGATTGTACTACAGGTATATTCACTAATATAGGTGATTCTCTCAAACAGAATATTAAGTGAAAAAAGCCAGACCTGGGAGTATATAATATATATAGGCTTCTGTTGGTTTAAGACTCAAAAAACAGGCAAAACTGTTCGCTTGTGTTTGAAATTAGGACAGTGTTTACTTTTAGGATGAGTGTGATGACTAGTTACTGGAAGGAGACATGAGGGATTTTCTGGGATACAGATTTTCATGTTGTTCTTGACCTAGTTCCTTTTTCTCCATCTGTGTTCAATTGGCATTTCATTGAACTGTAATTGTATGTGCTTTTCAATATTTGATACACTACAAATATAAGTTTAGATGAATTGAAAAGAAGAAAAAGCTAGTTGACTCTCCATAGGGCAGAATTATTGACTGATGTCCAGAATATGTTCAAAACAGGCATCCAGGCAACACTCTTTTATTGGGGACTTCTGCACGTTGGTATAAGAAGGTGGGAAATAGGTGTGTTCGTTCTTTCTGCTATGTCTAATGGAAGTCCTAAGGCCTCTCTCTAAATCTCTTTTGCCAAGACAAGGCTATCTTTTGATTACTTTTGTTGGTACCAGATGAGGTGGCACCATCAGTTTGTTCTTTGAAAAGTGCTATAGTATAATTGATATTTCCGTTCATTCATTCAGCAAATACTAAGAAAAAAACACACACACAGAATTCATGTCCTTGTGTGTAGAGCATAGCAAAAATCTTAAACATTCGCTATAAGTAGGATAAGTTATGGAAGGAAATAGGACTTCTAATAGTTTAGGAAGTCTAAACTAGAGTCACAGTCTAGTCCCCAGAGACAAATTTCCTTCTAAATGATACTTTTGTTACATGAAGAATAGAGAAAGTACTGGACTTTTTTCTTGATGAAAATAAAGTGAAAACCGTTACTCTTTTTTTTTTTTTAAAGATTTATTTTTTTTTATGCATTCAAGAACTGGAATGTGAGGGAGGGAGTACAGGGGAGAGAAGGTGAGAGGATTCACCAGAGAAAGGGGGGAGCAGAACAGACAGATAGACTGAAGCATACTGCTGAGAGGAGCAGCGGGCGAGATAGGAGAGGTCTGTTGTGCCATGTGGGTCACCTTCTTGGCTGGCCAGGGATCTAACTTGTGCTGCAGTGGCTGGCAGTTTGATAGCACTGCCTTTAACCACCAGAGAGGTGCCAAAAGACTTTGTTCTTAATAAAAATGTCTCATCTTGATGTGAAAACTTTTATTACTGTCTGTCTGACCACCCTATTATGTGATTTCAGGTGGAGAGTATAGTGAAGATGATGTAAATGAATTAGTGAAGGAAGATGAAGTGGATGGTGAAGAGCAGACACAGAAAACCAAAGGGAAAAAAAGAAAGGCTCAGAGCATTCCAGCCAGGTGATGCTGCCCTCCAGGCCCATAAAAGTAGGGCCCTTGTCACAGCCATTCTGGTTGTTGAGATTGATCTGTTGATTTCTTACTTTCTGCTCTTTAAGAAAAACATTTGATAATGTTTAAGGATTAAATTCTTGGTCTCTAGCAAGTTTTAAAATTTTTTGAGATTTGAACAAAAAGTTAATAGATGATATGTACACCGTTAAAGTGAAAAAATCAGTCATTACAAAAATGTTTCTCCTGCCCCTAGCCCTTGCTGCTTTGTCTCAGAAGAAGTATGTTACTGGAGATGTCAGTGCATGTACTGATATATGTATGCTTTCTGCTCTGTTGTTTTTACATTTTAAACAGGTTTATTAGGACAAGGCAAAGAGAAGATGCTCACTCAGTCATAAGTGGGCAGAAGATCCTGTTCTTTTTAAAAACCCACAAATAACATACTCAGCAAATCATTTCTTACTTTCCTATTTCACATCTTGGATATGTCATCATGGTATTTTACTTAGCTATACCTTACTGTTTTTCATAACTACACAGAATTACATTATATGTATAAACCTTACTTTAAATATTTTTCACTAAGAGGCATTTAGATTATAACTTGCCTTAGCAGAAAAACAAACAAGACTGAAGTAGATATTCTTTGTATTATATGTATATCTGTGAATCAGATTTGTAGAATTGTTTAATCCTGGATTAGGTCTTCCATAGGAGTGGATCTAAATTATACTTCCTCAAAAGTTACGAAAATTCTGACAGATGTACTCACATAGGGAATCATCTATGGAAGTCTTTTATTCTCTTTGATGTTCTGTTTTCATGGATGTTGAGGCAAAAAGTAGATTGTTTATAAAGGGGAAAAATAATTTTAGTTATTAGATGATTGACTTAAATCAGTATGGTTTGAAAAGCTATTTACTCTTGTGTGTCTGGAGTTCAGTTCTTTAATCTTTAGATTTTTCTGTATTCTTCATGTTTTCAGAAAGAGGGGGAGTATATGGATTTTCTCTCCCCTGAGAATTCTAGAAATAAACTCTAAAATAAATTTGGAATTCTTCTCAATAAGATTTGTTCTCCAAATGGAGTGATTTTAAGAATTAAAAAATACCCGGCTCTTCGATGTCTTAAAAACACTCATTCTGATTAATTCCATGTGGTGATTTTGGGTGTTTTCTTGGTGAAAATAGCTAGTCCTGGCTTAGAAGTAAAGCACTGTATTTTTATTCTTTTTGGAAGAGAATGTTAACTGTAAGAACTGAATTCTTTCTTAATAACACAAAACTTTATCAGTAGTTTACCTGCATATCTTTCCCCACTGTGCATGTTAATAAGTAGTCCCCGGATTTGAAAGTTTTCTAAGGTCTGTAGCATTATGTTTGGAAGTGAGGTGGGGACAACTGAAATAATTTTGTATTGTCTCTCTTATCTTTTGTTTTCCTTGTGATTGTTGGTGATTAGGAAGAGAAAACCAAGTGGCCTTTTGCTAGAAGAGGAAGAGGAGGGTTCCAATGAGGAATCTGAAGGAAGTAGCAGTGAGGAGGAAGACCCAGCTGAAGATGAGGAAAAAGGCATTGGGACAGAGGATGCAAAGAAAAAGAAGGAGGATGAATTATGGGCCAGCTTCCTCAATGATGTAGGACCAAAAACAAAAGTGGCCCCAAGTGTGCAAACTAAAGTGAGTCTGATAGGTGAATGAGATGAATGTTCTTCTAAAAATATTGTAAGTTCCTGGAATAGGTTGTTGTTGTTTTAACAAACTGAGATTTGAAACTAAAACAAATCAGATTAGATGCCTTTTGATAGTAACTACTGAGTGAAAAACAAAGCATTCCCTGTAGTACAAAAAGTAAGTCTTTGTAATCAGGTTAATTTCCAATAGATCTTTAGCTGTTTAAGATAGAATATTGAACAATAGCCTTAAATAATGTTTGTATAGTTCTTTTTTTTTTAATAATTTTTTTTAAGATTTATTTATTCATGCATACAAAACTGTGGTGAGAGGATTCATGAGAGATAGAGTGGGGAGCAGAACAGGCAGGTTGACTGAAATACACTGCTGAGGGGAGCAATGGGCAAGACAGGAAAGGTCTGCTGCATTATGTGCAGCAGCCTGGCCAGGAATTGAACTTCTGTTGAAGCAGCTGCAGTTAGCTTTGTAGTGCTGTGCTTTAACATGTTGTGCCACCAGACAGGACCCATGTTTGGACAGTTCTTTCAGGTTTCTTCCTTATGTGAAACTAATTACATTTTTTTTACTTTTTTTAAAGAGAGAAGAAGAGACTGAAGAGACAAGTTCAAGTAAATTGTTGGCCAGAGCAGAAGAACTAGAGAAACCTAAAGAAACAGAAAAAGTTAAAATCACTAAAGTCTTTGATTTTGCTGGGGAAGAAGTCAGGTAAGATGACTTTCACAAACACTGAAATTAGTTCTGAAAGAGTGAGTATTTCTTAATGGTATTAAGACTTCAGCTCTGTCCTCAAGCCAGCCTTTGGTAGTTTATATGAATTGTATTTGAGCTCAAGGCATATAGGTGCCTCCATGTACTTGGAACTCAAGGGACCAGACAATGAGACAATTGCTTTCAAATTCTTGATACAGCAGTGTGATAGCTGGTTATTATGAAGTGGTTAGGTAAAGTGGTAATTAGTTTTTGGGCATTACAGAATAGTTAGCTGAACAGAAATAAGAAATTTTTAATTGAGGTAACATTGGTTTGTAACACTACATGTGATTCAATGATACAGGATTATACCTCTTCGGGAAATAAATATATGGTTCCATTTATTCATTGTCATCTTTTCTGCTTTGCCTCAATCATTTCTCCTTTTATTATTTTCCTTAATCGTGACACATGAGCCCCAGTGAAGCCTCTGAAGTCAGATAAGAATTGAAAGTACTTAGGAGAGACCTTTGATTCCAATATTATTTCTTCATCTTAACATTAGTTTTTAAATTGCTTGATGAGGTTTATTACCAGTGTAGAAAAGTAGTAGGACCTTACAACCTGGTGGTTCTAGGTAAGAACCATATGCCTAAAATATTCCTTTCCCCACTTATTTAAATTTTATTGCATGAAAGCAATAGTTCTGTAATTGGGAAATGAATGAGAACAAAGAAGTTCCAATCAGTAATCTGATAGGTGGTCATATTTATTTTTCTTGACAATAATTAATTAAGTTTATATGCTCTCAAGTTCTAAATGCCCCAAAATTGATACTCTTACAAATACCCAATTTCCAACAGTTTTTCAGTACAATTATTGACAGAACATCTTAAAAATTAGTATTTAACATTACAGTATTATAAATGGTGTGAAACAAAATTTTTATTATTTTAAAAGTATTTTCATCCCAACTTTTTCTTCTGAAAATTTTCATTTAAAGGAATGTTGTCAGGGCCCTCTCTGGTGGCACAATGGGTTAAAACTCAGCACTACAAAGCCAGTTAGCTGCTTGAGCACTAGTTCAATCCCTGGCCAGGGAGCTGACCCACATGGCGCAGCAGACCTCTCCTGTCTCGCCCACTGCTCCCCTCAGTGGTGTACTTCCTTCAATCTGCCTGTTCTGCTCCCCACTCTGTCTCTGATGAATCTCTTAGCCCTCACACTTCTGTCCTGTACCCCAGTTCTTTGTGCATAAATAAATAAAAGTAAATCTTAAAAAAGAAGGAAATATTGTCAGAAAGGTATTAACAGTAAACACCCTTAAAACTTAACTACGACAGCCTGCTATTAAATATAAGCCTAATGTAGTTGGTTACACATATTTTGTATTTTATATATTGTATTCTTAGAATGAAGTAAGGTATACAAAAGAACATGTTATTAAAATCATAAGGAAAATAAATTTTATTTACAGTACTCAAGTGTGAGGTTTGAGAGCCAACTATTACCTCTGTTAAATAACCACGTATAAGTGCATCTGCATAATTCATACCCATGTTGTTCAAGGGTCACTTATACATGTCACTCACTGTGTTTTTCATAACAATATTTATAAGGAAACCTACCTCACAATATATTTTCATGAAGGAGGTATAGATTTTAAAGCAGTATCACTACGTTTTCTATTTCCATTTTACTTCTATGCAAAATAAAGCCATTATCGAAGTTCATCTTCTGAGAGTTCTATCAGTAGCCAGTTCCTGACAAGTTATAATTAAGTTCATGTTACAATTCAGTGAAAAAAGAAACTCTGGATGTATAATTTTCCTATTTGTGTATAGTCTTTTTATAGAAAATGTAACTCAGGGTATTCTGTAAAACAAAGTAATCTGTAGAAATTCAGGAAAGAAAAATCTGTTCTTTCAGGCTTCTAATTTTATACCTTGTAATGTATTTGCTAATGAAAAACATGTTGATTCAGTTCCTTTTATGGAAATAGAGAGATCACTCTAGATACCGAAGGTTAGAGACAAATGAGCACGTTTTACTAATTGAGAACTTTGAAACTGGAGCCATTTAGTTACTTTTCTTTTAGATACAATTTTATTTTTCAGTTTATCATTCTGAACATTTTTCTTTTTAGTAATCATTGTACCCTAAGCATGCAGTATAACAGTTGCATATTTAAGATCAGCCTTCATTTATCACATTTAAAAAGAGTCACTAAAAATTTAATGTATTATCTTTACATAATTAGAATATTTACTACTATACTAAGAAAGGTGATTTTTTTTTTTTGGCAGCAGGATTTTTCTTAACAAAGGAAGGAGAGTGTTAATTTATATTCTAGTACAAGCTTTTTAATCTAAATGGTTTTCAGTTTTGCAGCTGCACCATTGGGAAAATTCTTCTAAACTTAAATTTCCAATCACATTATAGTGTTATGGTAGTTTTTATTTTATACATCAGTCAGGTTTTGTTAGTCTTAAAGAAGCTAAAACAATCCTTCATATCACCCTCATTTTTAAACCACAGAAATACTAAATATGTTAGTAATATTACAGTCTTCTTCAGATTGCACTGAGAAAACTCTTTGCTAACTTTATCATAGTTTTCACTCTATGAATTTAAGCCATTTCCTGGGTACTTCAAAGTTTTGTGTCATTGAAAAGTTGTACTTGGGACCCTTCATGGTGGTGTAACGGTTTAGGGTGCAGCACTGTAAGCTAGCCACAGCCATTTTAGTGTGAGTTTGATCCCCAGCCCCGGAAGTGACCCACATGGCGCAGTAGACCTCTCCTGACCATCCCTCTGCGCCCCCTCATGGTGTATTTTGTTGCTCTGCCTGTTCTGCTCCCCACTCTGTCTCTGGTAAATCCTCTCACCACCTCTGCACCTCTGGCCTGTACCCCAGTCTGTATGTGTAAATTATAAATAAATCTTTAAAAAAAAAAAAAGAAAAGTTGTACTTGAACATTTTCTTTGTCCATAGTTGCCAAGATTTTCAAACATTTTGAATGTTTTGACAGTGTTTTGTTTTTCTTAGTTGGCAATTGAAAGTGACCCATTCTGAGAAGACCCTTTCTGAGTATAGCAGTATACTAATGTTAATGTATGGAATTTTGCAGCCACTCCTGTTGGCCTGTTAGCTTAGTACTCTAAAATTTTTTTTTGATTATTTATGTTTTATATGTAAATGCCACCGAACTTTTGATGGATACATTGCTTCACTAGCCAAAATATTTCTGCGAAAAACCCACTATGGTTTTAGTACTGCATGACCGAACTTAGCAAATGAGGATTCATAGACTAAAAGACAATTAACCTTCATTTCTTTGAAGTCATTTCCATTTTCCTCATGTAGTTTACTGCTTTTGCTGCATTCAGAAAGTTGTGTTTTCTTTGCAGGACAGTACAGTGCTGCTTGTTTTGCTACCAGTAAATTAGGATTAGAAAAAAAAAAATGTCTGTTTTACTTTATTCACTTAGTTGCTAGTTTCAATCTTAAATTTTAAAAGTCCCACTTGGTTAACTATTAAAATGAATATAAAAATAACAACTTAAAAAATAAATGCTTCAGGCCCTCCCTGGTGGCGCAGCGGGTTAAAGCACAGCACTAAAAAGCTTAAGCCACTTCAGCATGAGTTCCATCCCCGCCTGCCCCGGAGGTGACCCACATGGTATGGCAGACCTCTCCTGACCTGCCCGCTGCTCCCCTCAGCAGTGTACTTCGTCGATCTGCCTGTTCTGCTCCACATTCTCTCTGGTGAATCCTCTCACCCTCTGTATCTCTGGCCTGTTGTACCCCAGTTCTGTATGAATAAATAAATCTTTAAAAAAAATAAATAAAATAAATGCTTCAATCCTATCACACTGCATGACTGATGCACTGATAACGCCCACGTCCACCTTCTAAGTATGACTGCCTGAGTTGATCCATGATTTGTTCAGCGCAGTGAGTCCACTGATCATATCTTGAATACTGTGACAATGTCAGGTTTCTGAATACTTCTAATTTCCATACTCATATCATCGTGGACCAATATGCAGCCCATATTTTAATTGCTTTCACTGGGATACTATTCACATTTTCTCCTAGTTATTCCAATAATATTCTTTATTTCTTATTCTTTATTTCTAATCCAAGTTTATATTCTGCATTTAGTATAGCCTATTTGAAATTAGAACTGTTTTTAAGAATTTTTTTTGTATTTCATGACATATATGTATATTCTTAGTTCATTTTTATTACAGAATATCCCTGTTTGAACTGTTACATTGTTTCCTCATGATAAGGTTCAGATTAATCACATCAGATTGATGATGTTTTGCTACCTCAGTGCATCATATCCATAACTGTCAGTTTTAGTGGTGGCAAGTTAGACCACTTAAGGCACTATCTGTGAGTATTCTTCACTATAAAGACATGCTTTCCTTTGATCATTTAAGGAATTCCATTAAAAAATTTTTTTGACCATGTGAATTTGTAATACATTATTCTGCCATAAGTCACACTGGAAACTGATGAGAGTTGTCCAGTAGAGGGTAGCAGACCACTGATGATAAACTTTTAGTGGCTTGTAAGTCCTGCAAAAAGAAAATAAAAAATGTTTACAATTAAGCACATAGGTTTAAATTTTTTTTTATAAGATTTATTTATTTAAGCATTCATAACTGGGGTACAGGCCAGAGGTGCAGGGGCAGTGAGAGGATTCACCAGAGACAGAGTGGGGAGCAGAACAGGCAGATGGACGAAGTACACTGCTGAGGGGAGCAGTGGGCGGGTCAGGAGAGGTCTGCCAAGCCATGTGAATCACCTCCAGGGCAGGCTGGGATCGAACTCATGCTGACGTGGCTTTAGCTTCTTAGTGCTGTGCTTTAACCCACTGCGCCACCAGTGAGGGCCTGGTTTTAAATTTTTAAGAAGTCTTTGTTGGCTTACATTACTTCCCACATGTTGAAATGGAAATCTAGGGCCTCCCAGGTGGCTCAAGAGGGTAAGTCAGCACTGC